TATTTTAAAAGATTTTATTTATTTATTTGAGAGAGAGAGAATGAGAGACAGAGAGCATGAGAGGGAGGAGGGTCAGAGGGAGAGGCAGACTCCCCGCCGAGCAGGGAGCCCGATGCGGGACTCGATCCCGGTTCTCCAGGATCATGACCTGAGCCGAAGGCAGTCGCCCAACCAACTGAGCCACCCAGGCGCCCTTAACTTATTTATTTATTAATTTTTATTTATTTAGTTGGTTATATTTTACTTCTTTATTTATATATTATACACCTTGCAAAAAATACTTGAGAGTGGAGTTTGATGATGGTGCTTCTTTGTCGACACATTGTGGCAAGATCCTGAACAGCTGCTTGAACACTAAAGAACAGGAAAATGGGAGGGATGGTCTGTGACACAAACCCAGCTGACAGAACTTCCTGGGGGTCAAACTGGAAAGTGGGCAAATCCTTGACTAAACTATATTGGTGGGATCTCTCTGGACACTATATATAAATGGAATCATTATAATAGACAAATACGGACATATTTATGATCTGTTGCATGTTTGACTCCTTTCACTTAGCTGAATATTTTCAACGTTCAACAAGTTTATTTATTCAGTTACTTACTTACTTATTTTCTAGCTTTCTTGCTCATTTACTGAGTCATTTATTTATTTATTCATTTCTTTATGTATGTATGTATGTATGTATTTTACGCCTTGCAGAAAATAGTTGGGAATGGAGTTTGATGATGGTGGCTCTTTGGCGCCAACTTGTGCCAAAGGTCTGAACTGCTGCTTGAACGCTAAGGCACAGGAAAATGGAAGGGATGGTCTGTGACATCCCACCACATAAAACTTTCTGGAGTTCGAAATGGAAAGTGGGGAATTCCTTGACTAAACCCTATTGGTGGGCTTTCTCTGATACTGCATATAATTGGAATCATGTTTATAGACAAATATAGACATATTTGCAGTCTATTGCATTTTTGACTCCTTTCATTTAGCTTACTATTTTCAAGGTTCATCCACTGTATTTTTACTTATTTGCTTATGTATTTATGTATTTATGTATGTATGTATTTTACACTTTGCAGACAATTCTTGAGAGTGGAGTTTGATGATGATGGTTCTTTGTCGCCACTTTGAGGAAAGCCTGAACTGCTGCTTGAACACCAGGGAACAGGAAAACGGGAGGGATGGCCTGTGACACAAACCCACCAGACAGATCTTTCTCAAGTTAAAATGGAAAGTGGGGAATTCCTTGACTAAAGTATATTGGAGGGCTCATTCTAGACATGATATATAATTAAATCATTTTTATATACAAATACAGACATATTTGTGGTCTTTTGCATTTTTGAATCCTTCCACTTACCTTACTAATTTTAAGGTTCATCCATTGTACTTTTATTAATGATTGATTGATTGCTTCATTCATTTGTTCATTCATTTAGTTACATACTAATTTATTTATTAATATATTTATTTCTTTACTTATTTATTTATATATTATGTAGCTTGCAGAATTCTTGAAAGTGAAGTTTGATGATGGTGGTTCTTTGGCGCCACCTTGTGGCTAACGCCAGAACTACCCTTGAACACTAAGGAAAAAGAAAATGGGAGAGATAGTCTGTGACATCCACCAGACAGAACTTTCTGGAGGTGAAAAAGGAAAGTGGGGAATTCCTTGACTAAACCATATTGGTGGGCTCTCTCTGGACACTACCTATGATTGGAATCATTTTTAAAGACAAATATAGACATATTTGTGATCTCCTGCATTTTTGACTCCTTTCACTTAGCCTAATATTTTCAAGGTTCATTCATGTTATTTATTTATTTATTGGCTTACTTACTGATTTACTTATGTATTTACTTATTTATTTATTTATTTTACACCTTGTAGACAAATTTGAGAGTCGAGTTTGATGATGGTGGTTCTTTGGCGCCACCTGTGGCTAAAGCTTGAACTATTGCTTGAACACTAAGGAACAGGAAAATGGGAGGGATAGTCTGTGAAACAAACCAACCAGACAGAACTTTCTCATGTTAAAATGGAAAGTGGGGAATTCCTGGGCTAAACCCTACTGGAGGGTTCTCTGTGGACACTACATATAAGTGGAATCATACTAACTGGTCTTTTGCATTTTTGACTCCTTTCACTTAGCTGAATACTTTCAAGGTTTATCCACTTTATTTATTCATTTATTAATTTATTTATATATATTATACACCTTGCAAAAAATACTTGAGAGGAATATGATGATGATCGTTCTTTGGCGCCACCTTCTGGCAAGATCCTGAACTGCTGCTTGAACTCTTAATAGGAAAATGGGAGGGTTCGTCTGTGACACAAACCCACCACACAGAACTTCCTGGAGGTCAAACTGGAAAGTGGACAGTTCCTTGACTAAACCATATTGGTGGGATCTCTCTGGACACTACACATAAACAGAATCATTTTTAGAGACAAATATAGACGTATTTATGATCTGTTGCATTTTTTACTCCTTTCACTTAGCCAAATATTTTCAAGGTTCAACCAGTTTGTTTGTTTATTTATTTATTTAGTTACTTACTTTCTACCTTTCCTAGTTACTTATTTACCAATTCATTCATTCATTCATTCATCCATTCATGTATGTATGTATGTATGTATGTATTTTATGCCTTGAAGAAAATAGCTAAGAATGGTGTTTGTTGGTGGTGGTTCTTTGGCACCACCTTGTAGCAAAAGCCTGAACTGCTGCTTGAACACTGAGGAACAGGAGAATGGGAGGGATGGTCTGTGACACAAACCCACCACATAAAACTTTCTGGAGTTTAAAATGGAAAGTGGGGATTCCTTGACTAATCCCTATTGGTGGGCTTTCTCTGATACTGCATATAATTGGAATAATTTTTATAGATAAATATAGACATATGCGCTCTATTGAATTTTCAACGCCTTTCACTTGGCTTACTATTTTCAAGGTTCAGCCATTGCATTTTGAGTTATTTATTTATGTATTTATGTATTTATATGTGTATTTCTGTACGTATTTTACACTTTGCAGACAATTTGAGAGGGGAGTTTAATGATGGTGCGCTTTTTTGGGGCGCCACCTTGTGGCCAAAGCTTGAACTGCTGCTTGAACACTAAGGAACAAGAAAATGGGAGGAATGGTCTGTGACACAACCCCACCACACAGAACTTTGTGGGAATCAGAATGGAAAGTGGGGAATTCCTTGACTAAACCATATTGGTGGGCTCTCTCTGGACACTACCCATAAATGGAATCATTTTAACAGACATAGACATATTTATGATCTGTTGCATTTTTGACACCTTCACTTAGCTTAATATTTTCAACATAAAACCAGTTTATTTATTTAGTTAGTCAGTTAGAGAGTTACTTACTTTCGAGGTTTCTTATTTAATGATTCAATTATTTATTTATTTATTTATTTATTTATTTATTTATTATCTTACACCTTGCAGAAAATACTTGAGAGTGAAATTGATGATGGTGGTTCTTTGGCACCACATTGTGGCAAAGGCCTGAACTGCTGGTTGAACACTAATGAATAGGAAAATGGGATGGATGGTCTGTGACACAAACCCACCAGACAGAACTTACTCAGGTTAAAATGGAAAGTGGGGATCCTTGACTACACATATTGGAAGACTCTTTCTGGACACAACATATAAACTGAATCTTTTTTTTTTATAGACAAATATAGACATATTTGTGGTCTTTTGTATTTTGACTCCCTTCACTTAGCTTACTATTTTCAAGGTTCATCCATTTTATTTTTATTGAATGATTGATTGACTCATTCATTCATTCATTCGTTCATTCATTTATTTACATACTAATTTACTTATTTATATATTATACAACTTGCAGACAATTCTTGAGAGTAGAGTTTGATGATGGTGGTTCTTTGCCGCCACCTTGTGGCAAGATCCTGAACAGCTGCTTGAACACTAAAGAACAGGAAAATGGTAGGGATGGTCTGTAACACAACCCCACCACACAGACCTTTGTGGGGGTCAAAATGGAAAGTGGGGAATTCCTTGACTAAACCCTATTAGTGGGCTCTCTCTAGACACTACATATAAGTAGAATCATACAGTATGTAGTGTTTTGCATTTTTTCTCCTATCACTTAGCTGAATATTTTCAAGGTTCGTCCATTTTATGTATGTATGTATGTACGTATGAATTTTACACCTTGTAGAAAATAGTTGAGAATGCAGTTTGATTATGGTGGTTCTTTGGCGCCCCTTGGCAAAAGCCTAAACTGCTGCTTCAACACAGAGGAACAGGAAAATGGGAGGGATGGTCTGTAACACAAACCCACCACATAAATCTTTCTGGAGTTCGAAATGAAAAGTGTGGAATTCCTTGACAAAACCCTATTGATGGGCTTTCTCTGGATATTGTGAATAATTTGAATCATTTTTAGAGACAAAGAAAGACATATTTGGGGTCCTTTGCATTTTTGACTCCTTTCTCTTAGCTTACTATTTTCAAAGTTCATCCACTGTATTTTTATTAATTTTCTATGTATTTATGTATTTATTTATGTATTTATGTATGTATGTATATATGTATTTTACACTTTGCAAGCAATTCTTAGGAGTGGAGTTTGATTGTGGAAGTTCTTGGCCGCCACCTTGTAGCAAAAGACTGAAATGCTACTTGACCCCTAAGGGACAGGAAAATGGAAGGGATGGTCTGTGACACAAACCCACCACATAAATCTTTCTGGAGGTCAAAATGGAAAGTAGGGAATTCCTTGACTAAACCCTGTTGGTGAGCTTTCTCTGGATAATGCATATAATTGGAGTCATTTTTATAGACAAATATAGACATATTTGTGGTCTTTTGCATTTTTGACTCCTTTCACTTAGCTTACTATTTTCAAGGTTCATCCATTGTATTTTTATTTATTTACTATGTATTTATGTATGTATGTATTGTACACTTTGCTGGCAATTCTTGGGAGTGGAGTTTGATGATGGTTCTTTGGCGCCACCTTGTGGCAAAAGCCTGAACTGCTGCTTGAACACTAAGGAACGGGAAAATGGGAGGGATGGTCTGTAACACAACCTCACCACACAGAACTTTGTGGAGGTCAAAAACGAAAGTGGGGAATTCCTCGACTAAACCATATTGGTGGGCTGCCTCTAGGCACTACATATAAGAGGACTCATACAATATGTGGTCTTACAATATGTGGTGTTTTGCATTTTTGTCTCCTTTCACTTAGCTGAATATTTTCAAGGTACATCGATATTATTTATTAACTCTTTATCTATTTATTTATTTATTTTGTATTTACTTATTTATATATTATACAGCTTGCAAACAATACTCTAGTGGAGTTTGATGATGTTGGGTCTCTTGCGCCACCTTGTGGCAAAAGCCTGAACAGCTGCTTGAACACTAAGGAACAGGAAAATGGGAGGGATGGTCTGTGATACAAACCCACCAAACAGAACTATCTCATGTTAAAATGGAAAGTGGGGAATTCCTTGACTAAAGCATTTTGGTGCGCTCTCTCTGGACACTACATATAAGTGGAATCATACAATATTTTGTCTTTTGCACATTTGACTCCTTTCCATTAGCTGAATACTTTCCAGGTTCATTCATTTAATTTACTTCTTTATTTATTACTTATCCAATTATATATTATACACTTGCAAAAAATACTTGAGAGAGATTGATGATCATAGTTTTTGGCGCCACCCTGTGGCAAAAGCCTGAACTGCTGCTTGAACACTAAGGAACGGGAAAATGGGAGGGATGGTCTGTGCCACAAACCCACCAGACAGGACTTTCTCATGTTAAAATGGAAAGTGGGGAATTCTTTGACTAAACCCTATTGGTGGACTTTCTCTGATACTACATATAATTGGAGTCAGTTTTGTAGACAAATATAGGCATATTTGCAGTCTATTGCATTTTTGACTCCTTTCACTTAGCTTACTATTCTCAAGGTTCATCCATTGTGTTTTATGTATTTACTTATGTATTTACATATTTTTCTATGTATGTATTTTACACTTTGCTGGCAATTCTTGAGAGTGGAGTTTGATGATGTTGGATCTCTTGCGCCACCTTGTGGCAAAAGTCTTAACTGCTACTTGACCCCTAAGGGACAGGAAAATGGAAGGGATGGTCTGTGACACAAACCCACCACATAAATCTTTCTGGAGGTCGAAATGCAAGGTAGGGAATTCCTTGACTACACCCTGTTGGTGAGCTTTCTCTGGATAATGCATATAATTGGAATCA